CTCTTGCAGCAGGTGCCGCGCCTGCTCCTCCAGCAACGCCCGTGTCTGGTTCCCCAGGCTGCTCAGGGTCACCTGGGAGCCGGCTGGGCCCTTATAAAATCCTGGCTGAAAGACAGAAAGGTGGGGGCTCGGCAATGCTGAGCTGCCCAGGAGCCAAATGCCCATGCCCAGCCAGAGGTGCAGGGGGTGACACCGTTCTGAAAGCCCCCTGGTAGTCTCGGCACACACAGTGAACCCCCAGAAGACGTTATTGATCGACGTGTGGCCAAGCTGCTTTGCAAAGCGCTCACCTAGCACTTTCACACGGGACCTCGTGGGACCTTGCAATTGTGCAGTCGGGGCAGCAGGGCTCTGCCCGTGCGGGGTTGCACAGGTGAAGGAGGCAGGGAAAACAGGACGAACCTCCAGGCAAACCCCATATCACAGGGTTCTCGTTTTACTCCATAGGCGTCAATACCTCCCTCGGTAATGACGGTTCCAGTTAGAGGAGGCTTCAAAAAGTTCGTGGGAAGTGGAATTAATGTAACTAGTTTATTTTGGAGTGAAAAATTAAAACCCACACACCCTTTTAATTTTTTTTTTTTTTTGTAATAGTTTCCTTGAGCTCTTAGAAGAACTCTCATATTTCCAAAACGTAGCTCGGATCTGCACACACACTCCCACCCCTCCCTGCTGCTCCTTTCCCATCACTCCCTAAGACGCTTTCCAGTCTCCCCTCGGGTCCCCTCTGCCCCTGTCACCTACATAGACCAGATGAAATGATCTTACAAAAGCATAGCCTCATCACATTGTTCCCTGCTTAAAAGCCCTTCATCATAAAGATGGACAGTCATTAAATATAAATTTAAAAAATAAAACAAAATACAACGCCCTTCAAAGGCATCCCATGATTTCAAGTTAGAAGGCAAACCTCTTCCTGTAGCACACAAAGTCTCATGGAGTCTGGCCATCCACCACCTTCGTTCAAGTACCCTGTCACCCCTCCGAGAGCCCTGCCCCCTCCCCCTGCCCTCCACTCCATCCAGACTTGGTGTCCCCTCAGCCACTCTCCCGTGCAATTCCCAGCAGCTGGCCTCCACGACACTGAGTGTCTTCTCTCGTTTCATTTTTCTGTGTGTCCCTTTTATTGGGTGTAACCTCCACAAAGGCAGGGCCCTGTCCCCTGTTCATTGCCACAAGTCCCAGTGCCGGGGCAGTGCCAGGAACCTCACATGCGTGTGGAATGAGGGTGATGGGCAGGGAGGGCAGTTGGCTGTGTGAGTCGCTCAGCACCCTCTGTCCTGTCCCAAGCTCCGCATGTGGGAAGCTAAGAAGACACCAAAGGCCCTCATGGGTGGAGAACGGCCTACCTTGCTTGTCCCTTCTGTGCTGGGGTCCCCAGGAAACCTGTGGACAAAGACACACACCTTCAGCTGCACATCTGAGCAGTTCAGGCTGGCTTGGGGGGAAAGGCTGGTTTAGGGCAGGAAGAGCAAAGCGCTGAGGGAACCAAGGCTTGCTGGCTCCACTGGCGGCCAGCTCAGTTGGGGCACTCAGGGGCCTAGACAGCTGCGAAGCGCCCAGTAACAATGTACGCAGCACTTCTAAAACCACGCTGGTGGACTCCTAGGTCATAGCCACCCTACGAGACCAGGCAGGTGACACAAGGACTGGAGAGAGGAAACAGCACGGATAGGGGACCTTGGGTCAGGCCAAGGCTGGGTGGGGCGGGGCACCAGAAGGCCCCAGATCCAGCTCCCAGGGGAGGCTCAGCCCAGCCCAAGTCAGCATGGATACATGCGGGCCCTGGCTGCTGGACTTCTTGATTTGGAAGAAGCACCCAGAAACCTAGTTTTGTAAGAGGACCCTTCAAAAAGCTCTCGAAAAGTGGAATCGAACTATGAATTAATTTTGGTGCAAAAAATTTTGATATCCATGTAGTTTTTTTTTTTTTTTTTTTT